GAGAGAGAGAGAGAGAGAGAGAGAGAGAGAGAGAGCGCAACTCTCCTTCCACCAAGTGAGATCCTAGCTATTAAACTCAAGTCATTATACTTGGCAACAAGCACTTTGACCCCCTGAGCCATCTTGTCTATCCTGTTATTTCCCACTACTCTATTATGCTTGTTTTCATGGGTTCAGCTACATTGGCAGTACAATGTAAAATTGATGAGATGTGGGAAAATTTATGGAATACATGTAGAGTTTTTCTTCTAGAAAAACCCAAAGTTTGACATTCACAATGAAACCAGAGGAAAGAAAAGTGATGCACTTAGGAAGACCAAAGAAGGAAGATATATGTGGAACTTAATTACTTAACTGAGAGCCATATAGTAATTTTTAACCATCTTGTACTATTTACTATAATTTAATTTGCTATTCTGTACAAAGAATAACATAATCTATATAAAAGTTCTCTTTCACTGTCTCATCCCAATATCTGTAACTTTTACTTGATTTTCTATTGTCTAATTGTGTTGTCTACTGTGCCAATCAATAGATTCTGGTTTGGGATAAGTATCCTTTACCAGTGTTTGTCTCTCTATTTTCCTTAGAATTCTTTGATTTAACATCTTTGGAAAATACACATGGTTCTTCCCCGTGGCCTAGTCTCATAGCAAGTACTGTTAGTTCCCACTGGTATGTCTTCATTGTATCCACAGATTGTACTACATTTATGATTGCTGATTCATTTACAAGTGAGTACATTTCATTTAAGAAGATAAAGATTCATCTGCAACACATTTAACTTGCTTGAGTCACGATTGCTACCTATCTGGAGTTCCGAGTTCTTTTGTTTCCTCCACTTCAACACCAAGCTCTCATGGGAGACATGAGACATGAGTTTTACTTCGTGGTAAAACAATACAGGGAAATGGTAAATGTTTTGGTTAGTTTTAAATTGTCGGCTTGCCACAAACCTAGAATCACTTGAGAATAGAAGTTCATCTGAGGAATTGTCTGGATCAGGTTGGCCTGTGTGCCTATCAGGGGTGGGCGATTGTGCTGATGTTTTTTAATATAGGAAGACCCAGCCCACTGTGAATGGCACCATTTAATGGGATCCTTCCTGGACTGTGGAAGAGTAAAGGCAGCTGCCTAAGCACAAAGAGCAAAGAAGTTAGCAAGCCAGGATTCATGTGTTTATTCTTTTGTCAGGTTATTTCATCGCGGCAGCAGAAATGAAACTAATACAGTGAGGCAAAGGGAGAAGACCAGACACAGCAAAGGACCAATCTGTGAAAAACCAAACCCTCAAAAAACAAAACAAGAGTGTTTGGTGTGGTTGGAACAAAACTTCAATCCCAACACTCCGGGAGGCGGAGGCAACGAGAGTTCTGTGAGTTCAAGGCCAGTCTGGTCTACAGAGCAAATTCCAGGGAAGGCAAGGCTGTGTAATGAGATCCTAAGAAATAAAATAGACTAACAAAATCCACCAACAGGAACTCAACCTTGACAATTTAGCATGTGATTTCTTCAAGGACTAATTAAACACTGGGGTAAGAACTACCCGCTAGCATTTGACACATCTCTTGAAATGTCCATGAACCTCTTTTGGGGCCTTTGTTCTGTGGTGGGGTTAGAAAGAGATAGTTCCCTGAGGCTGGAGAGACAAGGAGGGAGGCAGAGAAAAGACAGTTTTGGGGCATGTGCTTTTATCCCCATTGTCACAGCTAATTCTAAGGGAACATTTCTTTGGGGGCAGGGTGTGTCTTTAACAATATCCTATAACAATGCTCCTTTCTTTCTCATGGGGAGTCAAAAGAATTTCTTTATTACGGACATCTCTCTGTTGTCACAATTGCTTGTGTTTCCTTCCAGAACATGTTGTATGTTTTCAAAAGGAGATTAAAGATGCACCGTATCTGTAAAATCTGCCTTTCTTGGAAGTTTGCTGTCACATAATGCTCCTCTCAAGGCATTGTTCAAGTACTTAGATGTTGCAGCGCCAAAGGACAAAGTGTGGTGGCTGAGCATTCTAAGTGCTTGTGTCCTATCAATTCAAAAGAAATCGATGTGTTTTGAAGGACAGAACATTCCTCCCTTGGTGGCAGGGGCTTTGCTGCATGTAGCTGCCAACACTCTGTAATTTCTCTTCAGAGATGAAGTGAATTGTTCCAGTTTTAAGGCCCTGAGCTCTTGAGATGGCTGACTTGCACCTGTCAGTGAAGGGTAGGAGGTAGAGGCCGTGCTGGGGTATTTTCCTGCTGATAATGAAGGGGCCATGAGACACATCAGGCACAGGTGTACTTAGAACCCAAGGTTCATATATCCCACTAAAATGAAGACATGTAGTGTGATGTCTGTCCCACCGACAGGAGACTTGTCTGGATTTGGAGAAGCATGACATACCCTAGAGAGGAAAGGCAGGGGCAACCTATCTAGTGAAGGCAGAAATCCAGCAGTCAGAATGGAGAAGAATTTGGTCTGCTGATCCTGGAGACATGGTGACCACTGCTGTCCCATTGGGTATCTCATGGCTGTTGGTGGAGACACAAGCCACATGCTGCCTGGTCTAATGTACCATATATGTCCAAGTGATTGAATGACATGCCCAAGCTTGTGAGATGGCCAAGACCTTTGCTAGTGGTGCTCATCATCGGCCTTTTCAGAATCAATCTAAGAAGTAGCTCCAAGGTTTCAGTTTCAGTGAGAGAAAATGTTTATTGTGATGCTAGACTGGATTTTGATACTAACATACTTCTCTAGAGAAATCATAAGAAATGGCTACACAAGTGTTTACTTTCTATGCAGAAGAAGGAGAGGATTTTTTTTTTTAGTGGCATGTTGTCTAGTTTTCTAGAGAAGGGTGGTCCTTCATTGATGCCTCTCTTCCTTTATTCAGTCTCAATGAACCCATAATTTGGACCATTCCCTTATCTGATATCAAATGACCAGGGTCCCACTAATTCCTTCAGAAAGTCCCAGACATGCAGGGGATTGCTCTGGCCATGGCTAAGGTGTCTGAAGAAAGGTGTCCTGCTCAGCGGGTCAGAATAAGGGACTCATGAGGACTCTTGCTGCAGCACCATGTGGTACTGACCGCTGCCACTTGTCTAAGCAAACTCATGAAGGTCAGGCTGGCGTCTCGATGTGGCTAGCAGCTCCTTGGGTAAACATCTCTTTTAAGCAATTACAAACAAATGACTTCATCTGTTACACACAAAGCCACTGTGGTTGGACACTGTGCCATGGCTTTTTTCTCCTCTCTCTTCTTTTCTCTCCCTCCTTACTTCTCTGTCTGCCTCTCTCTATTCCACACATACAAGCCCTTCCTAAATGACCAAGTGACACTCCACCCATTATCTAAATGGCAACGATGCAGTAAGAATTTTTTTTGCTGTGTGAAAAGTATCTACGTGTACTGTTAGGGAATTTTGGATAGATAATTCTCAGTTTAACAAAAGACCCAACCTTCTGCAGGGTAATTCTTGTTTTACAAGCATTGGGATTATTGCAACTAACCTGATCAAGCAGTGTGAAGTAGCAGAAGGACTGACTTCTGCTTTTAATGGGTGTATGCCAGGCTTGTCCCAGTCCTCTTGGGGGCCCTTGAGCCTACTACACAATGCCAGAACCACCCTCTATATTTCTGCATGGCTGTTTCATGCTTAAATACCGGGTCTATACCATAGTCCTGACATTGATGTCTCTATGATCTACTATGGTGATGTTAAGAAGTGAGACCTCTAAGAGTTGGGACCTAGTGGAAATCTGTTAGAACATAAAGGATATCACCCTTGGATGGAGTTAGGGAAATTTCCCAGGACCTTGAGTTAGTTTTATTTCTATAGAGTTGTGACTAAAATAATAAGCCCAACTCTACCCCTTCTCCTGCTTCCTGTCTCTCCATGTGGTTTCTTCCTCTTGCACACATGCCAGCCATGATGTCATCTGCCATGAGATGACACCATCAAATAAGCCCTTGCCAAAATGGCATCAGGCCTCCCAAACTGTAAACTAACACTTTGTATACACTCAGGGTCTGATCATCTTTCTGTGGTCACAAGAGACAATTTCCTGGGGCTGGGAAGATGGCTCAGTTAGTAAAGCACTTGTCATGCGGCTCAATGACTGGAGTTTGATCCCAGCACCCACATGAAGAGCACTTTTAATCCCAGCACTGTGGAGATAGAGCTAAGAGAATGTCTAGGGCTGCCTGCTCAGTCAACCTACTCAAGTCAGTGAGCCTCGGGTTCCACCGAGAGATCTTGTCTTAGGAGGTAATGTGGATGGACACCCAACGTTGACCCCTGGCCTTCACACGTATATGCACACATACACATCCCTCATACAAGTGTCCATGTACCCATACCACCACAACCTCCCATTGATTACCCTACATCCCCCAACCAGTGCTTCTTCTATGGCGGCTTTCCCAGCACACTTAAACGCTTTACATTCTTGCCCATCTGAGAGTTGGTGGTCATTGTCCACCACACTTGGCAGAGCAGTTGTGTTATCAGTGTTTCATTCAGGACACACATAAAGCCTTACGTGTCCAGAGTTATTCCCAACACCACCTTCCCTTAGGCCATTTCTGGTTCTTTCTCTTAACTCTAATCACCTCAAAGCCATCTTGGGCAGATGCCTGCTCGTAGGTTCCATGATCATCCTGACATGGTCCACAGTGACCAGAGTGACACCTTAAGAAAGCATGTCTGATCACCACTGATGTGCCATCAACAGTACTGGCCTCCAGTGACCTGGCCTCTCCCTGATCTATAACTTGGTCTTTGCCATTCTTCATGTGCTCCAGCTCTCTCCTGCCTTACAGCCCTTGCTACTTTCCTTTCTGGATGGTAATACACTTCCTTGGGCTTTCTGGAGCCATCGTCATCTTTTAACCATGCCTTAGTTTAAACCTTATCTTCTCAGAGAAGCCAGAGCTATGGGAATTTTATAGACATGACACTTGGATCTTCTGCTGGTCTGAGCATCCCTCACTGAGATCCATCTGCTGCCCGCAGGATTTGTGCTCCTGGTGGAAACAGATTACATCATAGGGATGCAATGCTTTATGCTTTAGAATACATACCCCACCCCTGTTAAAGTGACATTCTCAGAAGTGTTATTGTTAATGCTATGATTAGTGGGATAAACTAAATTTAAAATGTATTGAAGGATGGGGATTGCATGCAAGCCAGTCAGCACTGTCTCTTACCCTGAAAATGAAGGGAAAGAAATGACAGATGATCAGAATAGTCCCTTCATGGCCCAGAGATGCCGAAGCAGGGAGCATGGCTCTCAGGTGGTTAGTGAAGCAGGCCTTCTTGCAGTAGACCCCAGAGTTAGGAGTCTCAATAGACAAAGCCACCCCTGGCCCCTCGGGGGTGGTTTGAAGTCATCACTTGCAGAGGGACCTAACCCATTTATCCATAGCCAAGTGAGCAGAGGATCAATGATTTAAGGTATACATTGAACCACTTTCTTCTTTCAGTGAGTTCTGTCTTTCTAATAAAATGGAGAGTGGATATTTTAGTTTCTTTATAATGGGTTTATAGACAAATTGACTCGAGAACTTGGTAAATGATATTCAAACCCCATTAGGCTCTTACTTTTTCATTTACAAAATGATAATTCGTTAAGAGGTACCCCAAATTTTACATATTTTGTAATTTTTTTCTTTTTCTTTTTGGTTTTTCGAGATAGGGTTTCCTGTAGCTTTGGAGGCTGTCCTGAAACTAGCTCTTGTAGACCAGGCTGGTCTCGAACTCACAGAGATCCAACTACCTCTGTCTCCCGAGTGCTGTGATTAAAGGCGTGCACCACCAATGCCCGGCTTGTAATTATTTTCTACTACTGGAAAATGACCATTTGTGATTAGACTTCTAATTTGGAACTTATATTTATAAATGAGAAAATATGTACTTTTCACACATGAGCTATCATTTTCAATCTCAATACACTTTGCGGAGGACACCCTTTGTTTGTAGGGTTGGGGTTGGGTATAAGAAAGTGTCAGAAGACAAAGAGAGTGTCTGTTCACTTTGGAAATGGCATAAAACAAGGCCACTACAGAGAAGAGCATGAGATATCATATCGGATTATCAACACCCAAGGTCTTTGTAGACAAATGGATGAAGCTGGGAAGTTCACATTCAGTCCCTACCTTCATGTGCCAATAGCTTCTCTTTTGCTCACAAAATTAAATCTGATTCAAAAACCAGAGCAAGTGTGTGCACATAGGTTGGAAGACCGGGTCTAACTTGTCTGATTTTCAAACACTCAGTTTGTTTGCACTGCAAATAAGGAGCCAAGTGAGACACTGGAAGAGAGGACAGAGAGAGGTGAGAGCCTGGGCAAAGGCTCAGAGAAGGTGCTGGGGAATGAGCTACAGACTCACAAGGTGACACTGATAGTTAACACTGTCAGTTCCCTGGCATCTACAGTCACTTAGAAACCCTGGACACACTCAACAGGCCTTTCTAGATT